CTCCTCCAAATGACCTGTGAATTGAACATTCATCATGGGTCCCTCGCACAAAGCTTACGTGAAGCTTAGACTTTGTTCTTTATAGAGTATTTGTTCTGATTTGTTTGCGGGGAGGTTAACGAGAATTCATCCTCTTTTGCTTGTGGGATGTTTGTGCATCTTCACATTACCCATTCGTTCATCCCACACTGTCCAGGGCATTTCCTCAGCAATTTTCTAACAAAAAAACTCAGAGGTCCCCCCCCCTCGGGTGATAGATAGTGCTTTAATCTACTTTAATTGCACAAATCTACATTTTCAGTATCCACTTGACTTCCTCCTGCAAAATATTGACAGTCTGGAAATGACCTCTATTTAAAATATAGTCATAAATTGGAACATAGTAGCTCAGACTTCTGAAAAGTTCTAGCATGGAGGGCAAGCATAGCTCTTCAGTGATAGAGCACTTGCTTTGTTTCCAGGCAGGGCTGGGAAACCTCCTTCCTAAAACCCTGGGAAGCCAACAGTGCTGGTGGACCAATAGTCTGATTTGGTACAATACGGCTTCCTGTGTTGACAATGCCTGCAATGAAGCAAGCAAAGGGAATTATTCACTGGGTTTTTTGTTTGCTGCAAATCGCATTGAAATGAGTGGGAGGTGTGCAAAGGAATGGTTGCAATGGGCTGCGTCAACATCCTATCTCATATATTGCAAGTGCAAACATCGTAGAAACCTGAAAAAGTAACATGTGGTGTGTTTTGTAAATAGGCAAGAGAGGAATTCTTTGTGTTTCCCCCCCTCCCCCTTTCTTGGTCTGAAAAAGAAGAAAGGAAAGCTGGCTGAATAATGAAACAATAGTGCTGCCTTCCCTTTCCAGGACAAGGTATAGGAAGGACTATGTGGGGTAGATTACTTCACACACACACCATTCTCAGAATCTGAATGTGCTTGAATAGCAGCTTTTAATTTCAGACAGTTTACACATCTTAAAATGTGGGTCTGATTGTAATGCTGCCGTAGCCTAGAAAATATGTCAGGTCCCATAATGTAGCTTTCCTCCTCCAAAGTGTAACTGCCAATGAAGCTGTCGCAGTTCCCAGTGGATGAATTAAGTTAATTCTTTATTCTTCCAAGAAAGCCTCCCGCTTGACCCTGTTGGTGAACGCAGGCATGTTCAAAGCGCAGGTCAACAACTAGGGCTGGGTGTTATGTTAGACGGGGTGAATCGGCTGCCTCAGGCAGCAAAACATGAGTGTCACGAAAGGACAGCAAATTGTAACCTGATTTAATTTCTTATTATTGTATTTTTGTGTTTGGAGAGGTGCTTTGTGGGATTTTCTGCTTGTGTGGCCTTGGGTATTACGCACCTTGACTCGGTGGAGAGATGGGATGCCGTTTGTTCTTCTGCCTCAGGCAGCAAAATGTCTTGGGCAAGCTCTGCTAAAAACCCATCTCATTTCACTTTGCTGTGGACTAAAAGGTACCCTGGGGCAAAAGCAGATGAAGATTGGATTACAGCAAAGCTACTGACTTGGCAGTGGATATTTACTAGGATGGGGAGCAAACCTCAGGGGAGAGTCCACAATGAGGTAGGAAGAAACATGAGTCTTGAGCTGGAACGAAACTAAAGCTTTGGAGCTGAGTCTTGCGCTTTCCATTTGGAATCAGGATGGGGTGTTAACTGAAGCTGTGGCAAGGAACAGAAACTTCCAATAAGTTGGTATTATGCCCAACAGTACCGACTTTGAATGCCTCCTTAACCTATTTAATGGGACCTTTAAAATAAACTTTAATTTAATCCAAAGTTTTTGAGCTTGAGCTTGGTGCTGCCTGCTTGCCCAGAGTCCTGATCCCTGCTCTACTTGCACAGATGCAGGCAGGCCTGGAAGTTCCCCAAGATTGATGTGCTGCTTAGTAATAATTTAAAAAACTTACATATCTGAACCATTTATATCAGGCTTCCTTAACCTTGGCCCTCCAGATGTTTTTGGCCTACAACTCCCATGATCCCTAGCTAGCAGAACCAGTGGTCAGGGATGATGGGAACTGTAGTCTCAAAACATCTGGAGGGCTGAGCTTGAGGAAGCCTGATTTACATAAAATAGTGTAATAATGCAATATTAGAAACACTTAGATCAATTGGCATCAGAAGAATGTTCCCTCAAATGGTAAAACCCTCCTTTGCAGTCGGTAAGAAATCCAATAAACAAGATATATAAAGCGTTGGTTTTAAAAATAGTGATAAAAGGAGACCTGGAAAGCATTAGATGTAAGTAAATTATAAAAACACAGATAAAATATAGTTTTGAAAAAAAATATACAGAATTAAATTACATGCCTGGGTATTTTAGCAGGCATCAAAAGCAATACAACAAAGGCCTGATATTAACAGGCAGGCTGTTCCAGAGCATAGGTGCTGCCACACCAAACGGCCAATTTCTTGAAAGTTTAAAATGAGTATGACACGAGAGTGCAAGTCCTGTAGCCTGAGCCAGTTGTCGTGAGCACATATAGCGAAAACGGGTCTGGCTTGCCTTTGCAGATGTTAACATTTTGGTTCTGGTGGCATCGTTCTGACTCCATTGCTACAGCTATTGGGGATTATTAATAGGCTGTTATTGTATACAAGCGGCACTGGCATTTGTCATGAAATAAAAAGCTGCATAGCTTTCCCTATAAGAACAACATCAGAGCCAGAACCTGCCAGCGATGACAGCAGATGCCTGGGCATAAGGAGACAGTCAGCAATTATTTGCGCATGTCAAGAGAGCAGGGTGTATGTGTGTGTGTGGTGGTCAGTGCCTTTGCATAAGCAAGAGAAAGCAGGAGTGGCCACTCATGAACAATTGGTTTGCTCATTTAGGGTCAGGTTTTACAAGCCACCCAAGTGAGTAAGCCAAAAAGCAGTCCTGCTTTGCACTGGGACCACAATATGTATGTGTGCTAGAGAGAGAGAGAGAGAGAGAGAAGGAAGGAAGGAAGGAAGGAAAGAGACATTCTTTGTCCCTACATCAATTCCCAGATGCAAGTCACCCCATCCCGAAGCCACTGGCGGAGGAAGAGGGGGGCAGGGGGAGCGCACCGCCCCCAGCACCACGATCCCTGTGGGGTGCCATCACAGCTGCCCCCCCGCACTGGGCACCACACCCCCGCAGGCAGTGCACCACACCCCCAGGACGTGTGTCAGCCACGCCCCCGCCTGCTTTCTGCCCCCGGTGCTGGAGCATGAAGTTCTGCCACTGCCTGAAGCTGCTGTTAACTGCAGCGGCAAAAACATACGGTCAGGAGTTCTTCATAGATAGCATAATACACTGAGAGCTGGTGGTAGTGGGAGGGGCATTGTGCCATCTTAAGAGATCCCCTGCTCAGGATAATGCTACCACAGCAGGCCCATATCGGAACAGATAGTAAAGATAGTAAACTTTTGGTAATAATAATGACAACAGTAAGTTTTAATGTAGCAAAATAATACCAGCCAGGATCATTTTTTAAAGTAGTTCATTTGTTTATTATACTATTTATATGCTAGCTTTGGGGACATCATGGCCAATCAAAGCAGAGTATCATAAAAGCAGAATCAGTACCCATCATTTAGCACAGATAACGGCAGAACAGTAAATTTTTTTGTAAAATATAGGCTAGTTAAAACAAATAAGGTAAACCAGTATAACTATCGGAACCATATTCCATCAAGTAGTTTCCTGGAACAGTTATCCCAATACAGTATGTAGGAAGGAAGAAAAAGATGGAAGATGCACACTATGCTGTCCATGCAATAGCAGTGAGGCTCCTCTTCATGTAAAAGTATTGTTATAGGGTTTTTTTGGGGGGGGGGGTCTGTCTGGATGATATCTGTGGGTGCCTTCCAGGCCTGTGATCCTGTACCCAGTGAGGTTAAGAAACTAGTGTAAGAGGCTGCTGAACCAGTCAGACAAGTTTCTTGGTAACTGGCCTTAGATGGCCAGTTAAGTCCTGCCATTTACATGTCCAAAGAGGTTGGACAGGAGTTGCCCTGTTGCTACAGAGACAAATTGATGGACCTTTCCCCATTTCATGTGGCTGAATGCCATGTCATCCTAGGATGGAGAGCAATAGGTCCAAGAGGAGCTGTGTGGGTGTGAGTTTCAGCTGACACTGGACGCTGGAGACACAGGCTGGTCTTGCTCTATTCTGGACCCAGAGCTGTGACTCCTGAGACATCTAGTGGGAGGCAAGATCTGTTGGAATCTTAATACTGTGAGCCCTTCTGTCCTAGGCCAGGTTGTATATAGGTGTAAATAAAATCACATATCCTATCACTGTCTCCATTGACCTTCATTGCAAGGAACGTGAACCCTGGGTAAGCACAGGAACCCTTGGAGTCTCTTGCACAACAGCAGGGTCTGTGAGAGGGTGGGATCCAGTTCAATGCACTGAATCCCTTATTGCTTTCCTTGTACTATCACCACAGGAGAGAGAGGCTGGGAGGTTGGGGAATGGCAAGTGACTGCTGGCAAATGTAGCAGTTTCAGGCTGCTGACTGCACCCTGCCTGCCCACATAGAGAGGCTGGGCAGCCTCTGCTGTAAATTCTATAAATACCTTTGAACATAAAGCCAGTGGAAATCTTTTTGTGAAGTTAAACATCTGTAAATGATCAACTTACATTTTCAAGATTATCTGGAGGTTACAGTTCTTTAAAATCTCTTTGGAAGGGAGTCGCAGGCTCAATCGCTAAGCCCGTAACAAGCTTTTGCTGGAATATACTAGCATGGGGTGGCTTGCGGGGATGAAGGCAGACATTAATGGACATGAGGTTGGCAGTTAAGAATTAACTGGAAAGTAGCCAGGTTTGGTGGCACTGGAAATAAGACGGCAGTGTTGTGACTATCATTCGATACACAAATATGAGAAAAGTAGTTGCTAGAATCCAGGGGAGACCAGCACTAGAGGCAGATTTAGGGCAGTGGTACGGTTGCACCAGGTGGGCAGCCAAGGAGGGCACCTTCTCAAAGCCTGAGAAGGAGACATGAGGGCTTTGACAGGGTCCTAGAGTCCTTCCACCTCCTTCTCAAAGCCTGGTAAGTGCTTACCTAGCTTTGGGAAGGAGGTGGAAGGGCTCTAGGACCCTGCCAGAGCCTCACGAGGGCTCAGGGGAGGGCATCAAATGGCCTCGCACCAGGCGGCTTATTACCAAAGTTTGCCCTGCCAGCACAGTGTGGTGGTGCTGTGAAGCTGCCCTCCTGACACTGTCTGAACAGTGTGGGGGCTTGGAAGAGGCAAGGTCAGGGCAGGCGCATCGATGGGAGTGTTGAATTGTCACTACTGGTTTGCCCACGCAGTTCTGACCTCATTGCCACTCTGCCCCACATGTACACCATCCAGGCACATTTGCTTTGATTCAGTGGTAAAGAGCTGGTTTCCCTGGGGGAAAGCGGTGGGACAAGTGAAAGTGTGGGCAAGCCCTGTGTCAGGAAGAGGGTGGCTTCTCAGCACCACCTCACTAGCCTGGCCACTCTTGTTAGGTCAATGTTCAGCCTGCATCCACACTACCCAAGTTTACAAAAACAAGACAGAACACATAAATAAAATACAGCAAATAATGCACAAAAAGAGTGAAAACACTGATTGCATTTCATTCCCATGCACTTCCCAGTGCCCAAGGGCATGGATTTTCTAGATGGACATAAGCATATATGCACACATAAATCCAGACCCAGATGTGTATAGGTCATGCGTACCTGTGTACTGCCCTGGCAACTCCACATCACGTGGGTTTATCCAAAATAATCTGTGAAGCTATCAGAGCTTTCATACTTGATTCCAAGTGTTTCTGTGGAGTTATGGGATAAATAGGACACACATGCTGGAAAAGGGCATTGAGTCCATTTCTCTGAGCCCAAGTAGGGTCCCTCGGTGGTGGAGCATGAGACACCAGTTTAATTCAGTTTTGCAGGCAAACACTATTGAGAAACAGCCTTCCCGATGGTTAACTATATATGCACAGGTCATCTCCACCAGGAGCTGTGCTTTCAGTCCTGTGGATCTAATTCTGTAGAATTCCCTGTCGGAACATCTGGTACTTGGTAAAGACTTTAAAAAATCCCCCAAAATAAAACAGCAGCAGGCATTTTCGGTATGTCCCCCCCCCCAATTAATTTTAACTGATTTTACGCTATAGCCCTCCTGTATACCTAGTGTATACGGCTTAATACTTGAGGTATTAAGCAGCACCTGATTTTAAAAAACAACTAACTGTTGGCATAACTGAGTGGTTATATATTGTTCTTGATGATAACAACAACAACGAATTAAATGCCTTAAAATAAAATGGATATAAGAAGGCAGATAGTGCTGTATTGGCATGGACACGGTTTCCTTCTGAAACTCAGCTCAAAGCTTGGGAAAAAGAAAACGTGTAAACTTTAGGATGGAAGGAATCTTGTGACTTGAGTTTCCCAGCTTTATTTATTTTTCTATTTCAGGATCTTTTGTTTTGTAGATTTTGGACAGGATCCAGAATAGAAATCCTAGAATACCAATGCATCTTTTTTTGTATGTGTCGCATATCTGCCAGATGCAAAACAGGAAGCAGAAGGTGGTGTGAACCTTTAGTAAAGCTTGATTTCGCAAATTCCCCAGGAATTTCAGATCCTTGAGAGATTTCACCCATTACTAATACTTGCTTAATTATACAACATTCAGATAGGATAGAATAAGACCATTAAAACAATCTACCCAATTTAGTGAGATTAAGTCTGCAATCTTACACAATTCTCTGATTTTGGAGTAAGCGCCATTGAATTCCGTGTGATTTATTTCTAAGTTAGTGCGCACAGCATGGCATTATAAGGGTGTGACAAATCTATTTTCTGTTATAGTAGCTACCAGGCTCCTTTTGGCTTTAAATTTCCCAGATTGCACTTTTGAAGAGAAATATCACCTTGACTGACAATTGAAGAACAAGTCATTGAAAGTTAATTAAATTGTCAGTTGAGGTGTTATGTTTCATGTAATACGTTATAATACAGTGGTACCTTGGAAGTTGAACGGAATCCATTCCAAAAGCTCCTGCAGCCAATTGGAAGCCGTGATGGATGTTTGGGTTCCAAAGAATGTTCGCAAATCGGAACAATCACTTCTGGGTTTGCAACATTTGGGAGCCAAAACATTCGACTGGCAAGGTGTTCGACTTCCAAGGTGCGACTGTACTAGGTTTCTCAGTGAGAGGAAGTGTGGTGTATTGGTCAGTGTGTTGGACTAAGGCCTGGGAGATGGAGGTTTCAGTCCCCACTAAGTCATGAAGCTCAGTGGATGGCCTGAGCCAGTCACTGCCTCTCAGTAGAACCTACCTCACAGAGTTGTTGTGAGGATAAAATGGGGACAGGGAGAACCACATGTGCCACCCTGAATTCCTTGGAAAATAAAGGTAAGGACAATAAAAACATATACATAAATGAAGACTAAAGCATTTCATAAGCACGTAGGGCAGCCTTTCCCAACCTGGTGCCCTCTAGCTGTTTTGGACTACAACTTCCTATCAGCCCTGGCCAGCATGGGCTGATGGGAATTGCAATCCAAACATCTGAAACACATCATGTTAGGGGAACATCATATGAAGCTGGCTCATACTGGATTGGACCATTGGTTCCATCTAGCTCACCACTGCCGACAAAGGCTGACAGTGCTGTCCAAAGTTTCAGGCAGAGGACACCCTCTGTCGCCCTTCCTGGGGATGTTGGAGAATTCCAACATGGACTCTTCTGCATGCAAAGTAGATGCTCTACCACGGAGCTGCAGCAATTCTCCAAAGATTGGTGAATGGTGATATAGGACCTAATTATCAACCTCAGTACTGAGGTGCCTTGTAAATGTGGATCTTGGAGTATAATATCACTTGTTCTTAGCTATGAGAGGGAGTATGCCAAAGGTCAATAGGCAGTGGTTCTCTAATCAGTCATGAGATATGGCAATGTTGCCTCCTTGCATGGTGTTCTCTTTTTTAACTCGCGCCCACAGCAAACCAAGTGGTGACCTTGAAAAATGTCAGGTAGGGAGTCAGTCTGTGTGCTACAAAGGGAACTGCAACAGCTACACTAGCCGAGGAGACCTTCACGCAGATGATACCCAACCAGCAATTCCCTGGGAGCTTCTAGACTGTTGCTTTTTGGGTGGGATTCAATCACAAACCAGCAAATTCCGGTTGCACAGTTATAGTTGACTGGGAGCTCTTGTAGATCTAATTGGAAAGTGATGGAGAAATGCACTGGAAAATGTGGGGGAACATTTGCTTGATGCAATTGTTGTCTAGCTCTAGCCTCCCCATAAACAAGAATGAATGCTCATTAAATAGCCTACATTATCTAATCTCCCTGGAAACGTATCTGGATGACTGTTCAATAAACAGATCATCTGGAAGCAGCCCTTGCTGAAGCTTCTGAGTCAGCCATGCTCAGTGGATGGAGAAACTATGAAACCTGTGCTTGCAGATTATAGGTGTTTCCCCTCCCATCCACTGTGTCATGAGAATCCCAAGATGACTTGTTGGAAGGACTGGTCAAAGGGTGAAGAGTCGAAGAGTCTGGAGAGTGCTAAGCTTGATGCTGGGGAGGGGCCAACTAACCTGGCAGAAGTCCCCTCCATGCAGATGCTGGATGTCTCTTCAGAAGATGGAGAGCTACATAAACCAGTCCCTGCCTTGCCTCCTGCAAGAGGGCTGTCCCCGGCAACTGGGGAGGTGGACAAATAGTTGGCTGGGCAGACCCACCTTCTGTCTCTAAGGACACACCTGGGACTGGATGGTTGAGGGTGCTTCCATCACTGTCCTGCATCCACCACTCTGCCTAATGTTAGGGATGGCACTGCTTCTATTGTAAGTCAGTTGCTCCAGTGCGTAAACGTAAACTGTGACGTGTGCACACAAAAGCTATATAGCATTCTAGCCTTACATAGAAGATCCTAAGGCACTAAGTGCATAGCTTGGAAGTTTCAATGGTGTCCATTAAATTCTGTCCCCAGCCAAGAGCCACATTATTCTAATGTCCGGATTTGAAGGTAGGATAGGAAGAAAAAATAAATGAAAATTAAGAATAGAAGACAAAAAGAAATCTGCTGGTCATAGCTGAAAATGGAACTTTACTCAATAGCCTTTTCCTTAACTTTTCCACTGTAAGGGATTTATAATTACCATGTCTTGTTATGATATCCTGTAATCCAGACATGATTGTTAAAATTACAGCATCCTTTGCAATTTTGTACATTAAAGTAGGAAACAGCTAGCATTATCTTCTTGGAAACCTCAAACAATATAATTTTAGGGACTAGCAACTTTGTTGCAGTGCCAGCAGCTTTAAAACCGCAAGGTCACGGAGGTCAAAATTAAATTCACTTATGCAGTATTTTGAATCTAAAAATCAATTTTAAACTCCATCGTCATCATGATTATCATCCGTACTTGATCTACATTTTTTCTTTGGCCATCAAGATTATCCATATAATCCATCAAGCCCAATGTTTTAATGTTCATACCAAAGGGTTTTGAAGTGAATCTGTAAGCGGGCATATACTGAAATGTTACATCAGGGATGGGGAACATGTGGTCCTCCAGATGTTGCTGGATTCCACCTCCCATCATCCCTGCTCATTGCTCATGTTGGCTGCGTCTGCTAGGAATTGGATTCCAACAACATCTGGAGGGTCACAGGCTCCCATGACACCACCCCTGTGTTACACTGAAGTAGCTTATTCATGTAAGTATTTATATTTTTTCTCATAGCATGGATTCTCTTATTGCTCTTATTGAGTGCTTAAATTATTATTTGATAAGAGTAATGTTAGTTGAAGTTATGAAATATGTTTATTTAAGTAAATGTATATATTACCAAAACACCAACATACATATGGCTGTATTGTTTTTTAGGAAGGACAGTTAAGTAAACCAAGTGTATACTTCCTGAAAAGGTTAATCTCTCATTTTTTTTTGCTCTTTTTATTTACTTATTTAACAATAAAAAATAAGAAAACATTAAAACAACCCAAGCCATAGCAGCATCTCTTACAGTACATCACACATATAAGGTCACAAAAAACAGAGAGATAAAAATTATTATGCCTCTTTCTGTTTTTATCCCAAGATGAAAAAGGTTTATCTTTAAAGTTTTCTTTTTAATTATTTGGAAATTCAAAATGCAGAATAGTTCCTGTTACAGTAAGAGCAGAGACAACATACCACAAAACGAAGTTAAATTTCCATTAGTATTTATTTTTTATTGTGAAACATAAGTTTTCACATTTTCAAGATACAAACATAGACCCATTGGGTTAATGCAATTTATTATTATCAAAAGAAGAACAATTTTAACATCCAGATTAATGATGAATTAATGCCACAAAGTCAATACCATGGCCCTCATTATCTCTCTGTCTCTCTCTCCATACCTGCACATATATGCAAACCACATTGTGGAGAATTCAGATTTAAAAATGCATTGACACTGATTTCAACTGACTAATATATCCTTCTCCAACCTGGTGCTTCCCATAGATTGTTCACCACAACTCCCAGCATGGCCAAGTTATGATGGGAATTATAGCCCAACAATATATTTATTTATTAACACTGATATGCCACCCTTCTTTGCTAAGGTGCTCAGTAGAATATTTTTTTTAAAAAAAATCAAACATTTAAAAACACATAAGAACATTAGAAACATCTTTAAAACATGCAGATCAGAGGGCACCAGGTTGGGGAAGACTGGAGTGATGTCATCTTAATTTACTTGTGTTCCTTATTAGCAGGAGAAAATGTTTCCCCTCAGTATAGCTCTGCCTGAGTATGCAGTTGGTGGGATGTTTGTCAATGAACCTCCCTCCCTGTTTTTTCTGGGTATCAGATTGGAGCCATTAGGTGAGTGAGTCGCTCAGAAGAGCTCATTTTTCTTAGTATTCTGTTTGGTATGTTTGGGCAGTGAAAAGGGGAAGACTGGGGGTGCCAGTAATTTCGCAGTATTTTCAGTGGATCAATAAAAGGTGGTTATGACCTTAAAGTCTGTTCCCTTTGCTTGTACTAGCTTCTGGGATGCTGTAGGAGGGGATTGATTTACACAGGTTATATAATTCAGCTCTTCTGAGTAGAATTCCTTCAGCGTTGCAGAAGCCAAAACTGACACCTAGCCACGTGGGCCCATCATGTAACCCACACTAACTTGTCATGAGACCAATCTGTAAAAAATAGATCACTGGTGTAAACTTACACTAGAGTGAGCTCTACAGAGCTTGTGTGACATGCTCTGAAGTCACCCATTATTTTCAGAACTCTTTTCTAAGTTGGCCTCAATGAACTTTCAAAAGTAGGTTTAGGTTACATTACTGGCTTTACAACAAGACATACTATTTTGAAGTATGCTCTTTCATTTTTGCTTGCTTTTTGCACAGTCTTGTGTGTTAGGCGGTGCAAGACAGATTAGTAGAGGGAAAAGAAATCAAAGGTCCTTTAGTTGCGTTGCAATGTGTCCTCTTCCACTCCAAGGTTTCGTGGGTGTCTTGTGAAATGGCCAGGCTTAGCTTGCTCTCACTTATTTTATTTATTTAGAAACACATATAAACCTTTTAATACTTGAGAAATCTAAGCAGGGTACAACATACAAACAATAAACAGTAGAAGTAGAAGAAAAAAGCAGCATAAAATCAGTAAAAACATATAAAAACAAACAGGGAATTCAAACAAGTAAATAATAAAAAGGGTGCCTTTAGATTGAAGACATCTGAAGCAACTGATGGTTTCACAAATGGCAAAATGAAGTGCATTCCAGAGTTCAGAGACAATAGCAGAAAATGTCAATTTTCAGGTCATTGCCCTTGTGATATTCAGTAGGCAATGTACAGCACATGTGGAATTTCCTGTAAGCGATCTTGCAGGTGTAGAGCAGATGATTTTTCAGGCTACTAAGCGAATGAAAGCATTCCCTTATACTGCAGACCCTTATCTGTTTGCTCACATATTGTGAGCAACAGAAATACTGAATTAGTCCTGTTTACCAGTCTCCCATTATGTTGCGTGAAGTTTCAGATGGAGACATCTAGTGGCTATAATACACAAGACACCTGGATTACACCAAAGACTGAGTCTAGAACCCAGATCTAGAAAGGTGAATCCTCCCCACTCCTCCATGAGAAACTGTTGCCAATTTTATTTGAAAATCATTTAATTTCCCTCAGAATTCCTACATTTTATCTGAATAATATTATCTAAATGCAATGTTAAACGCTAATTTATTTGGCAGTGCTATATTGGGTCTTGTGGGGGATTGGTCTGGATGTCATCTTTGGGGTCTTCTCCATGCCTATGATTTTATACCTGTAAGATGAGATGCTCTAGAGAAGGAGACTGCTAAATGAATAGCTCTAATCAAGTTTGTGAAGTGTCTCTTTGCATATCTAGAGTACAGAACTACAATGCCACAGAAACTATTTAACTAATTAATTTGTCAGTTTCTCTATCTCACCCTCAGGTCCAGGAAACTTGTGGTCCTTCAGATGTTGTTGGACTCCAGCTATCAGCTTGACCAATGGTCAGGGATGATGAGAGTTGAAGACCAACAATAGCTAGAAGACTACAAGAATGACTAATCCAGTGCTAGCTGAAGATGGGCAGGCCTTCTGCTCCCTACCCAGCCAAGCTGGAAGGGATGCCATTGTTGTGCGTAAGAGAACAATACAAGTGAGACTATTCTAACTTGCCAGCTGGAGCTGGTAACACAGAGATTCTGTGAGATTCAAGCACTATGGGACTGCGAGGCTCTCCACTCTGCTGTGAAACATAGTGGGTAGGGATGAACGGATCTGTCTATTTCACTCTTAGTTTCTCATTTCTCCAATATTCAGTTCTCCACGTTTTCTGCACAGATTTGCTTTTTAAAAAAAATCCTCATGAAAATTCATCAGCATTTTTCTGCAAGCAATTTTCCTTAATATGCACACATTATGTCCATTTCTTCCAATATACACATTTTTGTAAACATTGTTTTGGCTAGAGAACTACATCACAAAATCCAGAGAAGTGTAACATTATATGAGGACCAAAAACAGTCCTCATATAGTTTTTAAAAGTGTGAATTTGTTAGGTTCAACACTAAATGTGAACCAAACCAAATTTCTCCCCCATCCCCACTAAAGGGGCCCCAGTATTGTTCAGGTGTTAATGTTGTCAGCTCTTCCTTTATATGCTCGGGCTGTATATACATTTAGATATATCACAAAGACATCACAGTCTCAAGTGACCTCAGTTCTAGGGAAACCAAACCCAGGTATGCACCAGCATCACCACTCTGGTGGCAATAATAAAATGCAATGACATAGTTGCAGGGTTTTCATCTCCTCTGAGTTTTCTGCAGGCTTTGGGGTTTAGTGTTCCTAAAACCCCCAGCAAGAGATAGAGAAAGAAACTCAACTCTCTAAACAGCAACAAAATGATATTACTTGGTGACTTTACACATTTGGGCTTATTTTATCCCTGCCTGGTTCTTCCAGCCTCCCCACCCCCCCGCCCAAGCTGAATGTACAAAAAGGCAAGGTGTGTCTTAATAACACACTTTGCACTTCTGCTTAAAAGGCGTGAAAGTGTGACTGCAATGAGCTGAAAGCCTGAAAGAAATGTGTATAGTTTTTCTTTGCATAGAAGCATAGTATTTTAAAAATAACAATAAAGTGATATGCTGTGATTTGGGTTGATTTGGGAGCTGGTGTGAAACTTGCTACAGAACTAAACAGGGAAATGAAGTGACTTGAGTGATTCATGAAGTGATTCTTGAGTGATCATACCATAAACTGGGTAATCCGAGAATCTGTTAATTATTATCAAGCTCTGATCATGACATTCATTAGGTTCGATGCGGCCATAAAGGAAGGATTTATGCTGTCCCTCACTAAAATGTGGACTGAGACCAAGATAACAAGCAGCCAAGGTTGTCTGACATATAAAGCGACTTCTTTCCCTGTCATTCAAAACAAAAGCACACACTCGCAGGTTTGTTGTAAACCTGTCTATACACATGATGATAGCACAGAGCGGGTGTTGTGCTGCACTCTCCTCTGTTCTGTACTGGAAGCCGGATTTGTTCATTTCTGTTGTCTCTCCTGAGCATGTTTAGGATCAGAGACGAGAAATAGATGTTTGAGGAGCAGAAAAAATGGTTCTCCCATTGTAGTCTTTCTCATCAGTGGTGTAGTGTAGGTTGCCAGCACGTGGGGCCGTTTGGAGGGGTTGGGTGGAAGGGAGGGAAATGAATGGAGTATGCATGCACATTCAACTGCCTAATGGCGTCTGTATCACCCAGGAGATTGCAGCCACAGAGATCAGAAAAGTTGTTTCTTTGTCTGGGAGGTCACTTCCTGGTTCGTATGGAGAAGCCAGTGATAGAAGCATGCAGCTGTATTGAGGCAGCACCAGATGTTGAAATTTTGTGCCCCTTACAATTCTGTGCCTGGAAGAACTGCCCTTGTTGCCCTCCCCACGCTATGCCACCAGTTTCTCATGTCATAATCTAGAGAATGATGCTGCTTTGCCTTTTCTTCAAGACCACTCACACATTCTGTTATTTATTATTACATTCCTATCCCACCTTTCCTCCAAGAGCTCAGATTGGTATATAATTTTATCTTCACACCAATGCTCTGAGGTGGGTTAGGCTGATGGACTGTGAGTGGCCCAAGGTCACTTAGCAAACTTCATGGCTGAATGGGCACTTGAAACCTTGTCTGCCAGATCCCACTGTACCACACTGGCTGCAATCCTAATTCTCACTGATATAATGGGACTCGTGCATAACATTGTACTGCATAGGCATACAAAGCTAGTATGGAGACCTAGATTCATATGTATGAAGTTATGCTTCCTTGTTAGCCATGCTTCGTAATCACACATTTTATAATCTGCTTTTCAGTAATGTTTGTCAGAACATAGCACAAAAAAGGACAAAAACCATATTTAAGAACATAATTCATTTAATAAATTCAGTAGTAAAAATATGTGTACTCTAAGAGTCTCTTAAGATTATTAAAGGTCAAATACAAGCCTAAAAGGAAAGCTTTTAATTGCTCTCTTGAGGAAGCTCTCAGAATTGGCAGATCTCTGTAGCAACAGCCTGGCTGGTCAGCGTGAGCCATTAGCAGGAAACAGCTATTAATAGTTGAGGGCAATTGTACCTGTCTTGGCCATAAAACCTGGAGTGAGTCTTTACTACTGGACCTGAACCAATGGGGAAATGGCAAGAAGGCATTGTAAAGCCAAACCATGACTTTGTGCAACCAAATAAGCATGCCAGCTCCTGGAGAGAAGAACCCAGCTGCTTTGTTGCTCCCGCTTGTTTGGCTGATGCACTGTATCACCCAAACCCAAGATCGTGGTTTAGCTCTCTCAGATGATCCGCAATCTGTAAATCATGGGACAAATCTTGGTAACTACTTATGGTTAGTCTGCCGAGAGCTAAACCATGAGCTTATGTCCAGATGACATGCTAAGCCAAACTATGGTTTAGCTCAGCATTGCACAGCAACAATATAACCAGGGAGGAGCAAAGTGATTGGGGTCTCCTCTCTGGCAGCCTGCAAGCCCATATACTCATGCTAGGTTTGGCTTAGTATGATGTGCGATCCAGGCCAATAAAGTGTTAACTAACACTTCCCATCTCTCAATGAAAGTCTTATGATATGCCCCACCCTAATCACTTTTATTGGGTTGGAACTGAGTCAACTGATGTAGCTCATTCACCCAAGAGTCCTCAAGGCCGACTTTTATTGCAAGTCTATTCTGCAGCATCTTTTTTACACAATAATAGTGCAATAGTGGTGGATTTATTCTGCTTTAGTTTGTTTTTCAATGCTCCCCCAGTGCTATCACATAATTGCTGTCTGGATGGGCTACAGCATAACAGAAGTGGGACAAAAATAAACCAGAACATTTGTGGTATAAAAAGTTATGGGATTTCAACAGGAAGTTATGGGCTATGCATTGACTGGAAGTGAAGCAATATGACTGCTCCAGAACTTTTGCAGGTGCAAACAGTATTGAAACTGGGGTTGTGTGTGACTGCCCCAACACCACCAAGAGAACAAATCATCATGAATGTGCAATAAAAAGTATGTCCCCAGGGGCCACTAATCTCAATGGATGAGCCATAAATAATAAAGGGCAAGCAATAAATGGCAAAGGGAAACCTGTTCCCACACCACTCAATGGCCCATGAGCTAGGCTCATTAAATGCACACAAACACTAGGCAATTCTTTCTGATAAGTAGTCCAAAAGACACCCACACCACTTGACATCCCAAAGAGACCATCCTGTTTAGTAGTGACCCTTCCAGTGGTTTGCCTTTGGCAAAACAAAAAACCCAAATCCTTCCCTAACGCCCAGCAAAGCTCCACTGATGAGTCAGGTTGAACATAGCCCTAGCCAAAACATAGGCAGTGCCTATTAGGCACTCATTGGCTGCTGGTGGGCAGGTAGAAACAGAAGGAATGGAGACAAGGTGGAAACAGTGCATTTCTTCACCCATCACTGTGAATGTATGATCTATTAAAAAGCCTGAGAAATCTGTGCAACCTGTTTAATGGAACATGTTTCATGAAAATTAACCCCTTTCTCTCTAGAATGGTTGAATGATTGAGTATATGCATCTTTTAAAGTGATAGAATTACAGATAGAAATCACTATAAAGGAATATACAATCTACAATAACCGTTCCAGTTAGTTATAAAAGGAGTCTGCTTTATTAGCAGGGAAAACACCGTATGGTGCTTTATTCATAATGCATATTAACAAAACCAGTCAGAAGCATATGTATCTTCTAATCATGGCTTCACACTTACAGGAACGATGAATTCCAATTTGTTTACTGCATGTCTGCATGGTGAGCATTGTAAAATATGGAAAGAGATGGGTATCTGAAACGTGTGATTAAATGTATCTATGAGCTGTGAATGGCCAAGGCTCTTGGGTACATTTTAAAAACCACAAACTGGTGTTTGCCATGCAGACGTGTGGTGGATGAATGAGAGCCTCTCATTCGAATAATGCACATAGGGGCCATGGGGCTGTTCCTTCTATGTGCCAACTTCAAAAATAGAAGAATTGGTCCTCTCTTTCGTATGTACACAAACGCTTTCAGCACTTTGTAAACACAGGAATGGGATGATGACATTGAAGCTCTGCCTGAGAAGCTTGCCCTTTGGTGAAAACACTGATAGCCTAGATAGGTGTGGGCCATGCTTTGGAAGTCCAAACCTCAAGCCATAAAATGTATGCAGTCATCAAACTTTGGCACAGATAATCTGCGGAAACAGAAAGAGAGGGCAAAAGCCAAGTCTTCTTTACAATGATTGCTTTGTGGCCTTGCTCATGTGTAGGCAGGCTCTGAGTTGCATTAGAGTTTGTTCCGTTAAGCCATATGCAAGGCATAGCCTTTCATTTGGAAGGAAGGAATTCATTGCCTATTTGCTTTTCAAAGCTCCTTGTCTTGTTCCTAAAACATCTTTTTAAAGCAGTCTGCGTGGACAGGGGAATCATAGAATCATAGAATCATAGAATCATAGAGTTGGAAGAGACCACAAGGGCCATCGAGTCCAACCCCCTGCCAAGCAGGAAACACCATCAGAGCACTCCTGACATATGGTTGTCAAGCCTCTGCTTAAAGACCTCCAAAGAAGGAGACTCCACCACACTCCTCGGCAGCAAATTCCACTGTCGAACAGCTCTTACTGTCAGGAAGTTCTTCCTAATGTTTAGGTGGAATCTTCTTTCTTGTAGTTTGGATCCATTGCTCCGTGTCCGCTTCTCTGGAGCAGCAGAAAACAACCTTTCTCCCTCCTCTATGTGACATCCTTTTATATATTTGAACATGGCTATCATATCACCCCTTAACCTCCTCTTCTCCAGGCTAAACATGCCCAGCTCCTTAGCCGCTCCTCATAAGGCATCGTTTCCAGGCCTTTGACCATTTTGGTTGCTCTCCTCTGGACACGTTCCAGTTTGTCAGTGTCCTTCTTGAACTGTGGTGCCCAGAACTGGACACAGTACTCCAGGTGAGGTCTGACCAGAGCAGAATACAGTGGCACTATTACTTCCCTTGATCTAGATGCTATACTCCTATTGATGCAGCCCAGAATTGCATTGGCTTTTTAGCTGCCGCGTCACACTGTTGGCTCATGTCAAGTTTGTGGTCAACCAAGACTCCTAGATCCTTTTCACATGTACTGCTCTCAAGCCAGGTGTCCCCATCTTGTATTTGTGCCTCTCATTTTTTTTGCCCAAGTGCAATACTTTACATTTCTCCCTGTTAAAATTCATCTTGTTTGTTTTGGCCCAGTTCTCTAATCTGTCAAGGTCGTTTTGAAGTGTCATCCTGTCCTCTGGGGTGTTAGCCACCCCTCCCAGTTTGGTGTCATCTGCAAATTTGATCAGGATGCCCTTGAGTCCATCATCCAAGTCGTTGATAAAGATGTTGAATAAGACCGGGCCCAAGACAGAACCCTGTGGCACCCCACTAGTCACTCTTCTCCAGGATGAAGAGGAACCATTGATGAGCACCCTTTGGGTTCGGTCAGTCAGCCAGTTACAAATCCACTGAGTGGTAGCATAGTCAAGACCGCATTTTACCAGCTTCTTTACAAGAATATCATGGGGCACCTTGTCAAATGCCTTGCTGAAATCAAGGTAGGCTACATCCACTGGGGAGACATGCTAGATTTTAATGTGGTAGCATGGAGGCATCATTTCTTGCGGTATACAAATTCATTTCTCATTGTGTACCAACTGGTCTTTTGTCAACAGGTTAAGCAGATTCCAAGCCCTGTGAAACCAGAGAACTGTGGGATGAATGTTCACACTAAGGGCAATGATGCCTCTGTCATGCCATTTCCAGGTATCCAAAAACAAACAAACAAACAAACAAACAAACAAACAAACAGACAGACAGACAGACAATTGTTTGTCTTCAGTGTGTGTTGCTGAGACTACAGCAAGCAGATGATCATTTGGCTACGATGAACCATCCTTTGCTAGAGTGTGTGGCCGAGTCCACATCAGTTTCCCAATCTCTGCCAAAGCTGACCATTGATCCTACAGTTGCCAGACTGATCTTTTCCCGCTAAAAACGAGCCATTCAGTTTAGACAGCATCAAAATGATGAGTGGCTTGATGCAAAGATAAGGGCACATTCCTTCAGTCATCCGTGTTTACAAGATGAACACACTGCGTGGCTCAATAGCTTCTTAAGGCTTTGTGTGCACAATAAATATTGCTGAGCAATGTGAGCAGCTTCCCCTTTAGCACGCTAAAAATAATAGGACTTATAATAAGCAATAAATGGCACTTATTGGTGGTGCACACCAACCCTTCTTGGCCCTGGCAATTTTGCACTCAAGAGTTTGTATCTTTTGCAACTTCTCATCCAGTTTAAACTTTGCATTTGCTAATGGACGCACTCGGCCTTGTACCAAGTGACAGAAGCAGAATTCTTGCCAGCAACAAATGCCATACTATTGTGTGTGTTTGTGAGTCTATAAGAGTCTGATGAATATTAGCGGCATACTTCGGAAAGTTCCCCCCCTCTTTTCCAAAGCTAACGCTGGCACGTTTTCCCTTTGGCGTACATCTGATGTCATTGTCTCTCTCTTACTGCCCTTACAAAGTATTAGCTGACAGGCAGCACTTAATGCACTTATGGAGATGCCGTGGACAAAGCTAGATACACTTCCCAAAAATGCAATATAAATTTTTGGGAGTGAGGAGAGAGGAGATTTTGCCATGCCAACTCATTATGTAAGAGGCATAGCATGATGAGTCTTATTCTTAGAAAGAGATGAAGATATGGAAGGTTACATATGCTGCTGTGCCCTGGGCTGGTATAAGGGAATCCGAACACAACTTGTGAAAGACCAAGGGGCAGCAAGCAATGAGAGTAG